TTATAGTTCGTTTCGAAAGTCGTACTCTCAAAATTTAATGAATATTTCGAAAAATCGGATCTGTACGGATCAGTTTTTTTTTTTTTTTTTAGTTTTTATTTTTTATTTTTAAAGTGGTCTTAGATTCCCTCTGTGCTTATGATTTCCTAATTTACAGTTGCGCAGGTGCCGCTGTTTTCTTACATTGGTTTATTTATTTAATCTGTGTCGCTCGGACTAATGTGTATACCCATAAGAAAAGAAAAGGAACACACAGTAACATATACAAGACGTTTACTTTTAATGAGCCTGTCACCAAGCAGTATGACAATACATGGCGTTTCCACTTCACTGTTCAAAATAAGCACACCTTTGCTTTTCCCACGGATTATCTTTAAAACGAGGGCAATTTGATGTCTTGCCAAGTTCAGCTCAAGCCATTTACAGTAAACACGCTAGAAAAGTAAACAAATAAATAAAATAGTAGACAGAGGACAGTTACAAACAGATCCGGAGAAAATAACCGAAGCCTTTAAGGAATACTATGAACAGCTATTTAAAGAAGAACACACTGACACCAAAACACAGGATATTTTCTTAAAATACACAAAAGAAATCACAGACGTAGAGATAGATATAATGGATAGGGACATAACATTAAACGAAATAACACAAACACTGATGCAAATGAATAAAAACCGAACACCAGGTCCAGATGGCCTTACAATAGAGTTCTATCAGCACTTCTTTCCTATCTTAGGACCTCTTCTTCTCAAAGTCTATCAACACTCTTTCAACAGACAACAGTTACCGAATGATTTAAATACATCTTACATAACACTCATACCAAAAGACAGTACAGACAAAACCTTATTAAAAAACTATAGACCCATTTCCCTTTTAAATACAGATTATATAAAGTTCTTCTTATTTGGCAGAACAATTCATGCAATCCAACAAAAGACCCTAATCCAAAATAAATTAAAAGGAGGAGTAGGAATACACGACATTAGCACAAAAATTAAATCCATTAGACTTAAATACTAAAGACAAATAATCACTAACCCAGAAACATATCCTTTGGCGATGTATTATGTAGCCATTAAATTAACCAAATTTAAGAGATTAGACAACAACTTACCACACTTTTTTGGATCCCTTCCCCCATTTTATAAAAACTGCCTTAAACACCTAAAAGAGAATGAACTCCTCATCAAACAAACGACAAAACAAATTTACACAAACCTAATAACACAACAGGCACCACCCCTACACCTTAGAATTAAAAAAGGATAAACATTCCCCAGAACTAACCATTTTAACTCCTTTATATATATATATATATATATATATATATATATATATATATATATATATATATATATATACAAACCATATATAAAACCGGTAGGGAAAGAAGTTATTTATAGATTAATTTTTGGTATTACCCTATCCACAGAAACAACAGCAAAAAGATTAAAAAAGAAAATCCCATTTAAACTATGCAATACGAACGAACAAGAAACAGAACAACATATTTTTTACACATGCCTAGTAATGCAACGGACACTTAAAGTTTTAGTCACAACTATAGAACACTATATAAATACACCAATAAACATGTACAGAACAATCTTCTTAAACACGTTGCCGCCTTTGACTAAAACAGATGAAATGAAAATACTGTCTGCACTTGCAGAATATCGTGTACGCATATGGTTTAACAGGTGCAATGTAGTTTTTGAAAGGCAAAGATGTTCAGATAAAAACCCAGCAGAGAGGTTCCAGTACATCATTATGAGAATATTTGATCCAGAATAGAGATATCTCCTCCACCACCTTCCTTTTCTTTTCCCCTTCTCTCCTTTCTTTAGCTCCCCGTTTACTGTTTGTTTTCGTTTGTTACTGTCTTACAGGTTAATATCCCCCCACCCATTGATTTTCATTGAGTTCACTAATATTATGATAAAATATATGTAATATGTACTGACAACCAAAGCACTTAGTATCCATAAACAGAAATAGGATACAAGGGACAATGATCTAAAATGTGTGTCGCAAGCCCCTCCGATGTTTCGCAGAGTATCCCCTTATATTTCTCTAAAAGTACAAGAGAGTTCTGCCGTTGTACGTTTCAAAACTCAGCAAAAGGAAACAATCCCAAATGCACCTCCACGTAATAGAGGACTGATGGTAAACACAATTCAGTGAGGCCAATGCAGCTATTGGAACCAGGTATCCACTGGGAAAAGTTGACACCTCTGGTGTTAGCAGGAGTATCTCAGTTGCCCTGTTATTCTAAAACGCTTCCCAAAGGCTGAGGACATACTCTAAAGTATGTGGATGTGGAAAGCAATGGGAAACCACAACATTATTATCCCAAGAAAATTATTATGTTGGCCCCCAAAAAAGTCGAATTTTTTTAAGCTTTTATCTTCCATGGAGCGGCATACGGATGTGAGTCGTGGTTAAGAACGAACAAACAAACAAAAAAATATATATTTTCAGAGGGTACAAATGCATCAGGCATCATTTTGCGGGGAAAAAAAACAAAGGACCTTTGATCTAAAATTCTATACAAAGATTCTAAGAAAATCACGGACAAAGAAAAGTAAGAAATATTGACATCAAAAGTATTGTCTTGCCAACTAAAATATGTTAACGACACCAAGAACTAAGGTGGAGTGGAGTAAAGAATAATAAAAGAAGGCAAGGTACCAGAAAAAAAAGGGGCATGGGTCGACAAGCACGAAGATAGGCACATGATCTAAGTGACACCTTGGGTTGAAAAGGCAAGAGAAATGGCTTGAGACAGGGTTTATTTCAAGCAGACCGGGATGAGAGCGACGTTCTGCAAAGGAACTGCAACATGATGATGATGATGATCCTCTAATATATTTTTAATTTTGCCAGTTTTCTTTCTTCTTTTTCTTCTCGTTCACCAGCTGTTAATTCTGGCGGAAAGTTCTGGTTGTTCATCCACTTCTGGACTGCAGTCGTGTTCTAAAACCTGAGTGTTGCTTGTTCATCCGTTTTGCAGATCTGACTCATTTGTATGCAGACTGCTGGTTCCTTGCCTCCCAGGCAGATGCAATCCGACTTTGAAGGAGCTCCCTATTAGTCGACTCTTACGACACGCTTTTTTGAAGGCAGTGGGTCTGTTCTTGTTTTCCCCACAATAGGGCCTCAGAACCCACACTGGGATTTTCCAGTTCTAATAAACCCTGTCTCCAGGGCTGTTAAAAGACACGGAGCTAGCCACTAACGTCATCTATTTCCCCATGCGAACACACAAAGAATTCTGCAGGTTATGCAAGACTAGTACAGTCTTTGTCGGTTCCCCAGTTGTCAGTTCTTTAGATGATGAATGGGGTATTGGGGAATTCGGCATGTTGATCTGCCATTCAGACTGAGATGATGTAATCTCGGAGTGTCGCACTTTCTGGTTGCACAAAGGTGGAAAACGCACGCAAGCACAGTACGAATCAAGCTGTGTTGTATTGTCTTTAAAACATAAACTATGAAGACTAAGTGGAGTTGTATCAATTATTATTAACATTCTCGCAGCCACTATCGTATACAGCCTCGCTAAAATTGCGACACAGCTGAAGGAACATTCGGAGGACACGGACAAACAACTGGGGGCCTTGAAGCAAGACACTGATATTCTGAAGCAAGACAATGAAGTCTTGAAGCAGGAAATTGAGGTTCTGAAGCAAGACAACCAGGCTCTGAAGACAGTTTTAGACAGCATCTTAGTGAAAGTGTCCAGGATCGACGGGTTACTGAACTCTACACTTGACTAAGACCAGGTACCGCACGTGTGTGTGTGTGTGTGTGTGTGTGTGTGTGTGTGTGTGTGTTTGTGTGTGTTTGCTTTCTTTTCATGTGTGTGTTTGTGTCAGTGACACAGTTATCTGTACTGGTGCATAATTTCTGGCGTAGCATCTATCCAAAAGGTCTCCTTAAAAATACTTAACAATATAAAACTATTACCCCTTCTCCCAGCATTGACCCCCATGGCACTTCCAAAAAGGACCCCACTTGACCTACTTATGGATTTTTATTTTTACTATGTCAAGATTGTACCCTATATGCCTGAACCACAACCACTCATCACCAAAACCATAACCTAACAAGCCGAATATATTAATAATACCCCAGTTAACAATCCAACATACGAAAGCGAATCATGGTCAGTTAGAAAATTAGTGAAAACTCATTTGGACGCTGAGGAGATTTTGTCTTGTAGATGATTGATGAAAATACCCTGGACAGATAAAAAGAGTAACGAAGGTGCCTTGAAAGAAACTGCCTCACTATAAGAACTGATTGCCCACATCAGAAAGAGACAATCAACATTCTTTGGTCGTGTGATAAGAAGGAGAAACTAGAGTACATTAAGACTGTAGGAAAGTTGGAGGGGAGGGGAGGCAGAGGGAGACAGAGAGAACAAATGCTGGACAGTTTTACAACATGGCATGGAGGAGCATCTGTGTCAGAGTTAATTAAAGTACACGAGACAGAAGGTTGTGGATAGACATGACTACCAACACCACACAGCATGGACTTTAAACAGAACAAGCCAGCACTCTGTCACGTTGACAGAGCTGCTCCCGCAACTCCAGAGTTTTCAGCTAGACCCGCTTACCGACTTGGGCAGCCCGGCTCTCTAGCGTAGTTGGCTAAACCGGATTGCGCGGAGACCAGGTGACGAACTCCTTGTGGTCAGGGTTCACTCCCGGGAGTAGGCAGGAAAGCCACATTTCTCTCAGATTTACGGTATTTACAATGGAATCAAGGCCGAAAGGTTGCGATATCCATAATACCGAGCCTAAGGGTTAACAACTCATGGCTTCTGGATACTAAAACAAAACAAAAACAAACAAAACAAAACCGACTTGGGCGAAATGATAACCGATTCTAACATACTATACTACTAATGTCATTATATTTTATTTCTCATGATCTCAAGACCTCTCTTGTCATTTCAGCCATTTGGAAGTCTGTGTTACCGAGGTATGCCACACAAAAGCTCCAGACAGAGGTTTGTTCTACCAGGGAAGATCCAGGCTCTGTGTGACACTGAGACTGATGGGGGAGGCAGGATAATCACACAGGTGATTTGTCTAGGATATAATTTCAAGCACGAAGTATGTTTTCTTCTTCGTCGGTCACAGTTTCCCGTGCGTCTGTTCTAGCATGAGTCACAAAGAGGATTTCGTGCTTGACGTCTTAAGCTGTTTCCCCAAGAGCCTCCATAGAGAGGTGGTCAAGACTTTTGCCTTGCGCTCTGAAGGTCGTTGATTTGTTTTACCGCGGCACCCTTTAGTTCACAAGTGCAATTGTTACAGAGATTCTCTGTGCGACGCTCTCAGCAAGCAGCTAGCTGTTCTATGGAGAGAGACTATGCCATATGGAATAAAACACAGTGCTATGGTCTATCCTGTCACCATCACCTTTAATTTCACCTCTTCCCCCAAAGTTGATCTTGTAGGGTCGCTCCTCTGGGTCATTATTTCAGGCAGTTAATCGTATCTGAAAGCGGTTGTTGAATGTTATGAGAAATATGGTGTACGATTTATGTTGTATGTATTACATTGTTTAATTAATCACTGTGTGCAAAGTGTTGTTATATGACTATCTTGTACGAAATAAGTTGTTGTATGAATTATGTGTATGTAAGAACTATGCTGGGAGTTGACGTGGCGGAGCCGCTAGACGGTCGCCGCGAATCGGAAGGTCGTGGGCTCACTCCCTGGCGGAGCCCGGCTTTAAAAAAAAACCTTGGCTCCCAGGTCGACCCAGCCTTGAGTTGGTACCGGCTGCGGTCCCGGGAAGTAAAGGCAGCCGGCGTGATGCTGACCAAATCACCCATCTTGTGCCGATTGGTCTATACAAAATAGGTCTAGCCCTATATACCCTATATGCCTAAAGGCGTAGAAAAGGATCCTTTAATTTTTTTTTTTTTTACTATATTCCGTTGAATGAACTTTTTATGGGAAGATAACCCTGTCAACAAATACTCGATAATGTTTGATGTATCGGCCGAAAGAAGTAAATATCGAAGCTTTGCTGTAAACCAACTGTTATCAATCATCCTAATGCGGCGACTCTTTGATACAGTTCCTCATGTTGTGGTGACTTTATTGCTACTTTCATAACTTCAGTGAACATGTGTTTTTCCGATGGTATAGCGACCCCAGTAAAAGGGTCGGTCGATCCCCAAAGGGGTCGCGACCCACACCTTGAGAACCATTGCTGTAAACAGGCACATTGCAGTTGTGTCAGACGAACTAAAAGAAGTAATCTGAACTATTTTATTGAATGCACTATGGATACCCTGCCTTGTATACATGTCAGCATTTTGCTATCTTTGTTTGATGACCGTCTAATACCTTGTCTCCATTCAGGCCCTTAGAGACGCGTGCGAGGAGATGTAGACTTCTATAGAAGCTGGGATGATTACAAGAGAGGGTTTGGAACTCCAGAAACAGATTTCTGGATTGGAAATGACATTATTTACGACCTCACTTCACAGGTAACTGCAACTCTCATAGCTTCTTGTCTCTCATTCTTGTGTGTGTGTGTGTTTTTTTTTTTTTTTTCCAAATATTACATGAAGATCCCCGTGTGGGTTCTGGCGTCCCATTGTGGGGAAAACAAGTATACACCCACTGCCTCCCCAACAAGCATGTCGTAAGAGTCGACTAATTTAGGGCTTTCTTTAAAGTCGCAGTGCATCTACCTAAGAAATAGGGAACCATCAGTCTGTATACAAATAAGCAAGATCTGTAAAACGGACGCATACTCAAAACTCAGGTCCCGGCACAAAGCCAAAGTCTATAAATAAACGAACACTTAGGTCTTTCCCACGGGATTTACAGCCGGTGTACGCAAACAAACAAACATGTCATGAAGTTTATTTCAAACAAAATGGAAATAATGCAAATCAGTAGAAGCCATGACTCACTACATATACAGATGAATGGTTCTGGCATGAAACCAGTTAGGAGGTTTAAATATCTACGAAGTGTGATCAGGAAAGTGACAAGAAGGGACAAAGTCCGCAATCAGACAATACGTCAAGATCTTGATACCCAGTCCTTACAAACCTTAGTGGATTAGTCACAGTTACGATGGTTTGGACATGTATGCAGAATGGGAGAAAATCGGCCACCATGGCAAGCATGGGAGGCTAAGAACCAGGAAATCAGTCCTCCAAGGCGACACATGGTCCGCTGGGAAGGCAACACCTGACAGTTCCTGACTGACAGAGGACTGGAATGGAGCAAAGCCAGGAAGAAAACTGCTGATAGAGACTTCTGGCGATCTCTCTGGCAAACCTCCAAACCCCAAGGTAGAAGAGGAGCGACTAAGTAAAGTAAAGCAAAGTAAATCAGGAAAGCTGGCAGATTTGACAGACAAATAGGAGTTAAATGTCAGAAAGCAAGTGCGCTTACATGTCAATTATCAGCTTTATTAAGACATCCAAATATAACAATGAGTGCAACACACACACACACACGGAAATTGATATGAACAACATATTCATCACCACTCAGCTACCACTGCCAAACATGGAAATTATCTAAATCACATATACGCAAAATCACCACTTGCGAGATGCGATGCCTGAGAAAAGTCGCCAGCCTAACCATTCGAGACTGAGTGAATAATAATACTATCAGAACAATTGTGAGAACGACACCTTGTACTAGATTCAACGAGAAAAAGCAGATCAAATGGTTTGGTCATCTCGTGAGAACGCAGCAACATCAAATACCACCACAGGGGTAATACAAACGTTAGTCTCCTCATTTACACAGTATTACACACTATCAAACTTCTGATTGGTCGACCTTCATTCGGGATAGCTCAATTATGATTGGTCGACCTTGAGCCACGCCAACTTGCCAGAAGGTTACAGGGGTTTCCCGCAATGCCATTGATAATGTGTGTTGTATATTTCAGCACGCCAGCGCTTTTAACACTCCAAAAACATCGACAAACTGGGTCTAACACAAAGCCCCTTTAGAGAGTGATGAAGCCGATGTCAGAGGCATTCTCTTTCTCGGAATAAAAACGTAAATTCAAGACAACCTAGAAAGCAAACAACAGAGCGGGACACACCCTAACCTGCAGGAAGGTAGACCAGCCCAAAAAACTAATGAAGGGAACGTGACCTGCTTTGTTTTGGGAGACTAACGTTTGTATAACCCGTCACAGGTACTACAGAGGTGGCAAGATTTAATTTTTGGGCTAGTAGATCGAGACTCATATATTGGGTTCTTTGTGTAACTTCTAGAATTGTTAATGAAGGAAATATGGTAAGGAAAGGGCCGAACGTCATGACCCATACGTCATGGCCTAACAGGTCAACCTCAGCGACAGTGTCGGTTATACTGTTACTTTACATTTAACCCATTTTTGGCTAGTTCGGCTTGGTTCATGAGCTATAGAAACAAATTTCCCACTATTTTCTATATTATGTGATATTTGCAGGGTTACAACGAACTCCGTATCGACTTTGTCTACAAAGAGACGGACTATTTTGCTCAGTACACCAGCTTCAATCTGGCCGATGAGTCGTCTGAATACCTCATGACGATTGGTGGATATTCCGGAAACGTCTACGACAGTATGAGCTTTCATAATGGCTACAAATTCACCACTTTTGACAGGGACAATGACCTGAGCGGTGCAAACTGCGCCGTGGATTTCCACGGGGCTTGGTGGTACAATCAGTGTTACTTTGCAAATCTGAACGGAGCTTGGGCAGTCGCAAACAACTCGGGTATTTCTTGGCGTCCATCAGGTAATGTTTTCTGGAACAATCTGACATTTACAGAGATGAAGATCAGGCATATTTAGAGGGAAAATTACCTTCCCAGAACTGCTAATAAATGTTTGAGTCTTTATCCAACATACTGACTGAACGTTTTCATGCTGTTGATTTTGGTCTGAGCATATTTTTCTTTCGACGTCATCATTGTCCTGTTGGGCTCGCAATTTTTTCCTCCATTCTATGCTATCCTGAGCAATCACTTCGATATCATAGACGGAATCTAGTCCAGCGCCTTTGACTTTTCACATCAGTATGGCATATCTTTGTCGTCCTCGTTTCCTAGAATATCGCATTTCAGTGCCTTTTTGGTGACTCTCTGTCTCTTTTCAGAATGCATCTAGTTTAGCGGGATTTTTTTTTAATTTTTTTATTTCGTAAATCCTACCCCAGATGACGTCACATGACAGTCCAACATTTTAGAGGGCGGTAAGACTGGGTTTCCCGGCTTTCTCATGCTTTCAACGCCCCCAAAATATCTATAATTGGCCCTAAACCCAACCCACCTACGTCCCACGAGACATTGCAGCCTAGGTCCCACGACTGCATGCAGCCAATCTACCACCCGCTGATAGATTAGACTGTCCCGTGACCTGTGGATTTTCCCTGTTTGGTGTAGGAAATAAAGAAACACTATATAACGTCATCGTCTTTGTCTTATAACTGTTGATACTAATGGTTGCCAGGATATTTCTCTACCCCTCTCCCCCCCTCCCCCCCCCCCATCTTTTTCTGATTTCATTCCCATTTTCTGCTCGTCATTCTCCTAAGGCCTTTTGTTACAAATTAAGTGCATTAAGTTGTTCTCCAACTTTTACTGGCGTAAGTTAAACCGGAAACAACATTAGAACTGAAATTACATAACATGGTTCTAAAACTAAATAATTGTGAGCTCCATATTTTGTTCCCACTATTAAAGGCTGTTAATGCCTTGCCAATGGATGTCGAAATGTCTTTCTTTGTGTTTCATTGAATATCAAGATTTTTAATTTAAATAAGTAACTTGATCTGTTATTTTTTTTCCATTGATTGCTACACTTGTTTGATCTGTTATTGGTATCTTTTTGATGCCTCTTTAAAAAAAATCTAAATCGTATGTTTTTTTTTTTTTTTTGGTTTTTTTTTCGCATGCCAGTTCTGTTGTTTTTGTTTTTGTTTTTGGTTGTTTTGTTTTCACAGAAGAACATTGTCATCTACAATATCTAAATCTTCCAACTCTGTGCTACGGAGAGAGTTGGAGCTATGTGGATTAACCCAATGCAGGAAAATGGATCCTTTAGGCTGTAACTTGAAGTGAACCCTATGGTCTGTGGGTCTATGTTCTTTCTCTGACAGATCCCGCTGGAGTAATCGCCTACAATGCTGGATGTCCCACGCATCCAGAGTAAAACATACACTACTCCTAGTCGCCCCTTTGAGAAGGAGCGCTTAGAATTGGGGTTAAAGCTGATTGGTGACCATGGACTACGTAAACAACGGGAAGTCTGGAGAGTCAAATATGCTGTGGGTAAAATCAGAAAGGCTGCCTGAGAGTTGCTGACACTGGACGAGAAGGAGCAGAAGAGATTGTCTGGAGACAATGCCCTGCTTCTTTTTGGGCAGTAATGTAGATGAAGATGGGGAAACTGATAGAGACATAAAAATAAGAATACAAAAGGCAAGAAAAGTTTTCATAGCACTAGGGAATTTGTGGAAGTCAAAAGAAATGAAAAGAAATACTAAACTTAAAATTTTTGATTCTAATCTCAAATCCATACTTTTGTATGGTGCGGAAAGATGGAGAACAACTAAGACAATTACAAATAAACTACAGACATTCAATTACTGGTGCCTGCGCAGAATGGGGGGAATTAAATGGTATGATTTAAAAACTAATGTAGAGCTTTTGGAGAGAACTAAGCAAGCTGCTGTGGACAAAGAGATGAAGAAAAGACGCTGGCGTTGGATAGGATACATAAAGAGAAAAACCGGAGAACAAAATAACTAAAATATTTTTGCGCTGGAACCCACAGGGGCATATGAATAAAGGAAGACCAAAAAACACATGGTGAAGGGAGCTGGAGAATGCAGTTAGAAAGATGGGGAGCATATGGGAAGATATGCATGCGATAGCAAAGGAAAGAACGACTTGGCTTGAGTTGGTTGAGGGCCTATGATCCATTAAGGGCTAGAAAGGCAGAAGAATAAGAATACCCTCCTCCGTCGACTGGCACGTATTAGTGTACTTGATGAAGGCAAGAAGAAGCTTGATTTTTATCTTGGGTCTGCTCTTGGAAGAGTTCCTCGAGAGACTCTGCAGACCCAGGTGTTCAAGATGGGCCTGGCTAAGAGCATTCATGATGTCAGAGTTCTCATCAGACAGAAACACATCAGGGAGTGTAAGCAAGTGGTAAGCATCCCCAGCTACATTGTTCGCCTGGACTCGCAGAAACACATTGACTTCTCTCTGTGCTAACCTTATGGCGGTGGCAGACCTGGACGTGTAAAGAGGAAGAATGTCAAGAAGGGCCAGTCTAGTGGTGATGCTGGGGATGAGGAGGCAGAAGATTAAATATGCACTTTTCTAAGCTCTGAGTTCATCATTAAATGAGTGGATGGCCAAGCAAAATTACAGAGGTCTAGGACTGCAGCACTCCCAGAATTAGCAACAGGGAAAACCCACACATAAGACTTTTGATAAAAGGACTGGAATCTAAGGTTTGTATACATAATACGTTTGATGGCTGTTCAATGCTGCGTCGTCTATAAACTGTCTCTTCGTCGTCTATGCAGCATTGAAGCGAGCATTTACATAAACTGTCAAACAGCGTTAGTTACTTACTCACACGACAGAAAGTCCCGCATAGACGCATATTTCACATAAAATGGCTGGCAAGTTTAGGTTAGCTTTGAAACATTTAGCAGACAGTTAGCACTCAGCAGTCATGCATCCATCTTGACAATTACAGTATAACCAGACAGACATAGCCGCTCTAGCCTGTTTGAGTTGATTCAGTTCTATAGTTCACTCACATTCACTTTTTCACTCGACTTGTCACACCCCCATTCACATTATGATTCCTAGTTCTTTCACACTTCTAATCATCCGTTGACTTCCAGGCATTACGCTAGCAACACTCACTTATTCTCGTGTTCCACACCATTCATGCTAACCCTGTGATTGTCTTTTCTGGCATGTGGCCTTCCTAAACCTTGCTTATTCTCACAGTTTATGCTAACGAGATGTTTATCTCAATCTCCCAATAGAATATAAAGGCTTAGTCTTAGTCGAGATTTCAACATTACTGCAATCGGATTTCCCCATACTTGCTCCGACGCTGTGCCATTGAAAATCAAATGAAATGTCAATATAAAGAGTGTCATTATAGTCTAAATCCCAAGAGTGTAACACTTCAGTAGTAACCCTGTATTCTGGGTAACAAAAACATGTAACACACACATTACTGAGCCTTCTTAGAAAAAAATTAAATAACGCTTTTCCGTGCCTTCAGTCGCATTAGCATATAGGGCTAGATCTGTATTTTTTTTATAGACCAATCGGCACTTGGTGTGTGATGTGGTCAGTATCACTCCAAGCGAGCCAATCTTCTTCTTCTTCTTCACTTCCTCTTTTACCGCTGTGGGTGTCGAGGGAGATATAAGGTTCTTTTCTAGCTCTTCTTGCTGCCTCGACCATCGTGCTGTTGTAGAGTTTCTCTGATGTTATCCTTCCATCTTGTTCTTGGTCTACCCCGTGCTCTACGTCCTTCTTCTCTTCCCATGTATGCTTTGTATGGTATGGTGTCACAAGGCATTCTCTCTAAGTGGGCAAACCATTTCACTTGCTGTCTTTGTATGTAATCCAGAATTGGTTCTGTGCCGACTTGTTCTCTTATGATCTCATTCCTGATCTTATCTCTTATGGTCACTCCTACAGCCCTTCTCAGAGCCAATAACTTAAGTAAATTCCAGAGGGACGTGACACTACAGTAGTGAACAAATACGAACAAAGAAGAACCAAGCCACCGACTGCACAATTTATTGCCTGCATAATTCGCTATGTCTCATCGTGGCCATATACTATCACTCCTACATTGGATTGCAAGTTACTTTTATAACCGTAAGGGTACTCTAACAAACGTGTGACGTATAACTGAACATGGTTTCTGGAATCTGCTTAGGTTTGATTCTCATCCTTGAGATGTTAATCCTACGGACAGCAATCCTCGAGGGGGGAAATTAACCACTGCCATCTGCATACCATGCTAGCAATTGACTAAAATTTTGCATTTTTTTAAGTGAACTAAAAGGTCAGCTACATCCAAAAGTAACTGCTTGTTTCACCAAGTAATACAATATGCAGTCTGTTGTATCTTCTTTATTATAATTTACAATAGGGAAACACTGCTTTCATTTTTGCGAAGTCATTCAGTAATATCAGACAAAAGGACACAAAAAATAAAATAGCAACAGTTTGAGTCAAACTAGGGGACATAATACTTAAAATAGTTCAAAAGTTCGAGTCAGACTCAGGGACACAATACTTAGAACAGTTCAAAAGCTCGAGTCAGACTTAGGGACGTAATACTAAAATGGTTCAATAGTTTAAGTTTCCTTTGAAGTCGGAGTGCATCTGCCTGAGAGGCAAGGAACCAGCAGTCTGCATTCAATTGAATCAGAACTGTAAAACTGATGCACACGCAACACTCAGGTTCTGGAGCGGGACTGCAGTCCAGAAGTGGACGAACAACCAGAACGTTACGCCAGAGTGTACAGCTGGTGAACGCGAAGAAGAAGAAGAATAAGAATAGTTTAAGTCAAAGGGATGTAAAACATAAAATAGTTTGAGACAAAGAGTCGTATACTTCAAATAGTTCAATAGTTCGAGTCGGACGGACCTAATGAGGTATCACGCTTCTCGTCCTTTTTAGGATACAATTTTTCGTTATTTGAAGCCCTACTCTGGCTCTTGCCAGGGGCCGCAATATAGCCCGGCCATAAATATGGCTTAAAGGCTGAACGCGGTTTCTGGGACCTCTCCACGGTGATCCTCACCCACATGATGGCACATTGTGTCATCGGGTGTTTATCGCTTGTGTGATGTCCTGGTGGAGAAGAAAGTCAGACGGACCTAATATTTAAAATAGTTTAATAGGTCCAGTCTGAATATGGGATGTAATGCATAAAATGGTTCGAGTCAGACTTAGGGACGAAAAATATAAAATAATTCAATAGTTTACGTAAGACTAAGGAATGTAATACTTAAAACAAAGATCAAATGATCTGATGTTATAACCTCGCCGCATTAGTAAAGTAAAGGACCCTTTTCCAAGCCTTAAAGAGTATTTGGTATATCGTGCTAGACCCATTTTATTTTATAGACCAGTCTGCACCCGGTGGGTGATGTGATCAGCATCACGCCGGTCGCCTTTACTTCTTAGGACTGTGCCTGGTATACCTTCTAGGCTGAATGGATCGATCTGAGAAAAAATACTGTTCTGTCAGTACCCGAACCTACGACTTTCCGATCCGCAGGCGAGCGTCTAGCCTCTACACCACAGTAACTTTCACAGCCTCGCCCCCATATGGGACTTCGTTTTGTTATTTTAAAGCTCCGCCCCAGCTGTAGTTGGGGTCTCTAAATAACCTAAGGGTTCAACAGGGTTTCTGGGACTTTCACCTAGGACTTTGTGTCACCGGGTGTTTGTTGCTCGTGGGGTTAAACGTCACTTACTCAATAATCTGATTGAATAATGAAACAAAACAGCTACGATACTCGCGATTTTCTTACCCCCACAGGACTGCATGTTACCCAAACTAGTGTTTTCGTTACAGGTGCATCGATTATAACTTCTTTGTAGGTTGTCTGGGATGTGGTCTGTTGACTTGCCTTCCACGATTTTACCCAAGTAACATTATTAATTGTTTATTGGTTGTAAATGTAGCCTTTATTGCACACATTCAGAACGCTATTATCTTTGTAAGGAGTCATTTTTCTCATTGTTTGTAAATTCTCTCATTGTTTAAAAATGAGGACAACTATTAAACGTAAATTATGTGCGAATATTCGGATAAATGGCATAGATTACTAATTAAAATGTATGCGTGAGCAGATCGAATGAGCGGCACAAACTCGGAATAAACGTGCAGTTCGGCTGAAGAGTGCTAGACGAGAAAACCGTAAAATTGTGAATAGAATTTTAGAGTGAAATAGCAGTACAACAGATTATTTAAACTTAGAGCAATTAAAAAAGCTCAGTCTCTTTTTTAGATCCGGTGAGAGACTGGTCCCATGACGCTTGGAACGCCTGATTCAAATATTTGCATAGATTGAGAAATATAAGCTGTCGGCCTTTTCCGAGAGAAAAAACGTAGCTATGACTACACGACAAATTGAGATGGGAAATTTCTCTGCTGTGAGATGTGTGTGTTGCTGAAGGCTCTTTTGCAACGCAATAAATAGACTAATATTCATTGTTCCTATGTGCCAGTCCAGACCTTGGGGTGTGAGTCATGGGCAATGACAACAGCTCACAGAAGCAGGCTTTAGACATAAGAAATAAGTTATCTGAGAAAGATGGCCCAAGTGACAAGAAGAGACAAACTTTGCAATCAGACAATACGTCAAGATCTTAAAACCCAGACCTTACAAACTCTAGTTGGGTCAGTCACAGTTACAATGATTTGGACATGTAGACAGAATGAAAGAAAGTTGGCCACAGTGTCCATGCATCCATTTATGAAAAACAAAATCGATCACATTCAACCTATGGCGAGCTGTATCGTTATTAATGTGGTGTGGTTTCTTTGTGCCAGTTATGTTGGCTAAGAAATGTTAACTGCAAACAAACTAGTGGCTTGGCCCGTTCTCTAGTATCTAGAGATGGTTGTTGGCGAGAGACTAGTAGGTAATATATACACACCACACACAATATATATACACGTACTATTACACACTCACGCACATTTGTATATATATATATATATATATATATATATATTTATATATAAGTCGAAGCGAACACTTAGTAATGCCGGGATGCAGAGATCGATCCTAGCTGCGGGCCATGCGCCTTTCGTTGGTTTCGACAGTGTATCAAAAAAGCCGACCGTCTAGGAAGCAATAACAAACACATCATCATCATGTAGCAGGTCGTTTGCAGAACGTCGCTCTCATCACAGTCTGCCTGTAAGAAACTCTGTCTCTTGCCAGTTTTCCCGCCTCATGGACTTTTACACTCAAGGAGTCACTTATATCATGTGCCCATCTTCGTGTCGGTCGACCCCTGCCCCTCCTTCCTGGTACCATGCCTTCTGCTTTAATTTTTTCCAACCCGTTTTGGCGCTTGATATGACCACAATATTTCAGCTTCCAAGAAAGGATGCTGTTTTTTAGCCAATCTTCCTTGATGTTCAGATCTTTCAAGATGTCCATATTTCTCATCTTCTTTGTCCAAGATATTCTGAGAATCTTTCTATAGCATTTCAGCTCAAAAGCCCCTATTCTCTTTCTTAAGGACTGAGAGATAGTCCACGACATACATCCATATGTAGCCACAGGGAAGATGCATG